ACTGTTCTGTTTTGTACCCCTTGTGATCAGCTGGAAGTGCTGTAGGCTTATTCATACATAGTTTATTACTATTATAAGAATGCAAATCCATTTTAGCATATGATACATACCTCTTACTTGATGTGTAGTCAGATCTGTGGAGGTGGTAGAAAACTCTGACAAAAACAATAAATTTTATAGTTATAAGTTTCAGAAACCTGGCCAGAATTTATTTGCTATCATAGGTGTTTAGAGATAAAAATAATGCTGGGAAAAAAGCAGCCATGCTCTTGGTTTTAAATGTCCTCTCAGTCAATTTTCTTTTCCTACGTAGATTTGTTTACAAATTCAATCCTTGTTCATTCTCTTTGACCAAACCATTTTATAGCCTAATTAATTTGGCTCCCAATTGTTCAGGACCCAACCCCTATTGGTTAACCAAAAACAATTTTTAAGTATCATAGTCACCAATTTATTCAGTCAGTCAGTCAATCAGTCAGTCCGTTATCTTGCTATCACATCATATTTTAACAAACATTATCAAGCACATCATGAGTTTGAGAGTTCAAACAATGGATTGAGTTACATATTGGTCCATGGCAGATAGAGTAAAAAAAATCTTGTTAGATTTATAGACCATCTGCAAGACTTCACAAGAATTTGAATGAAGAGCTCCCCCCCCCCACCTTTATTTTATCTTCATGTGAATCTTGTTAATTAGGTTAAGCTGAGGGAATGATTGCGGCTTAAAGTTATCCCATGACTTCTCATGGTAGACCTGAATTTGGATCTCCACAAATCTAGTCCACATCTTTACATGAACTATTATTTCAGATGTGGACTCATTTGGAACCAGCATGTAAGAAATCATTATAATCATCTGGATGTACTGTTGGCTTATTCTTACAATATTTATTATCATTATAAGAATGCAAGTCCACTTCAGCATATAATAAATACCTCTTGTTTTCTGTGTAGTCAGATCTGCGGAGGTTGTAGAAAGTTCTGACAAATACAGAAATTGTATAGTTATATGTTTCAGAAACTTGCCAAAACTTCTTTGCTAACATAGATGTATAAAGATAAAAATAATTGGGAAAAACCCAGCCATCCTTTATAGAATCACTTTATAGCCTAATTAATTCGGCTTCCAATCAGTCAGGACCCAATCCCTACTGGTTAACCCAAAACAATTTTTAAGTGCCCTATAGTCATCAAATCATTTATTTATTCATCTCACTTTCCAGAGAAATATATTCTATAATTCAATGATTTCACTATCTTTTACACCTTATTTGAATCAAACAACATTTAATAGTCATTCTCCGTTACATTCATACATTAGTTGCTGAAAAGAAAAACTTCAGTCTTCATAGCACATGCCTAACATAAACACTAATTTTATTTCACAAATTGTTCTTCCAGTGAAAAGAAAGAACAGAAAGTGGTAATATCTTATTTATCTCTTTGCTGCTGAAGACTTTACTGGCTCTATTTCCCCTGAAATTATGATGCAAGATTTGATTTTACCTAATCAAAGAAATTTAAGAGAACACTTACCAGGTGGTGGTGTGGTAACAGTAGGACCTGAAAATCAAAGAAATAACTTTCGTCTTGGTAAAGATGACAACAGGGTGATGTTGAAGAATTAGGAGGTTATACTGTATTGCCATTATCATTATCATCATTACTTCTTTTATATTTTTACTTTTCTTTAGCTTGATATAAAATAAAAAAGTGTATTGTAAACCTAGCTTAAAATATTGGAATTAATGCCTGTTGCCTTTTATTATTGAGACTACATGTACTGTAGTCCTCACTTACTGATTGCAATTGAATCTTCCAACTCCATCATTAAGTCATGTGGTAAGTATGTTAAGCTCCTTGAACAAATTTCCTTAAAGATAATGTAATAACCTATTGAAACTTGCATAGTTTAACAAATCAGTAACTAAATCTTTGTGTTTTCAATAATAAATACGCCTTCTCTACTGCAACATATTATCAATGAGGACTGAAAGCTTTACACATAATAGCAATTAGGATATTTTTCAATCCCATTTAAGACCTCCTAGTAAGATGGTGACATGCTTTGGCTGTCTGTTGATAGCATTCGACCTGGCAATAGTCACTTTGCATTGACACCTGAGTTTTAAATTATTCTTTGACTATATTTCATAATGTAAACCACATAAAAGCATCACATCACTTGAAAATTGAGCAGTTCAG